GACCTCTTCCAGTGGACCAGGCTGCAGTGGCTATAGCTATCCTATATCAGTTGATCTTCTCTCCTGTACAGCAGCAATGATTATAGCATTCTGTTTCCCCCACACATTAGTAGAGACAAAATGTAGGGGGTAGAATGACACTTTATTGCACACAACACAGCTATTTATACACAGGGATATGAATTGCCCTCCACGGGGTTCTCCAAACAATGTAAGGGACAGTACGATAATCCCATACAAGGTGCCACTCTGTTGGGGTCTTAAATAAGTTAGCCTAAGTTATAACAATATGTTCCCTGCTGTGTCCTCACTGGAGGCATTATGTATACAAATTCCCCCAGAACCACTTCCACTGGAGAGCACCCCCACACATTATTTGTCTCTGGATAGCACATCACTGAGCACCCTCACAGTCCGAATAATGTCCTTATTGGGTCACTGCTATTTTCTGATACAGTGAGGACTTCCAGTCATGTGGCTGGTTAGTCCCAGTCACACAACAGTGGTTCCTGGGGATGTGGGAGAGGATGTTCTCACAAGTCCTTGGTGTCCTTTCTGATATCCACTCCAAATAGAACCTTATTCAGAGAATCTGTGCCCAAGCTACAGTGTGTTAAAGCTTTATTGTGTCGTGACTATTCTCTGATCTGGCAAAGAGTTCTAGGCTTGTGGCTGTTTTGTCCTGGTCTCACAAAAGGGGTTCCTGGAGCTCGGAGAGTGTAGTGCTCTAAAGTCAGGGAACCTCCGATACCTCAACACCACTTCAAAAACCTCTCCAAATAAAGCCATGAATAGTGGTTGGGAAAAGAGCAATACCATACCATAATTACTCCTAAATCCCTTTCCTCAGATGTTGAGGTTGGTAGGGTATCAAATATTCTACACTCTTTCTTTGGGTTTTACGCCCAAGTTGCATTATCTTCCACTTATCCACATTAAATATCAGTTGCCACAGCTCTGAGTATTTTCTAATTTATGTAAATCATTTGCCATAACAATTTTAGTATCATCAACAAAAAGACATACCTTATCATCAAGACCTTCTGCAATCACTTATAAAAATATTATTAAAGAGACTGGGTCCAAGTACAGATCCCTGAGGTACCCCACTGGTGATAAGTCCAAGCTTCGAATATACTCCATTGACTACAACCCTCTGTTAAATAGTGAAAAGGTGGAAAACACCCAGAATACGTGTAGGTTACTATATAAAATATACAACAACCTGATGAAGAGTGAAATCCATATGAATTCTGTATAAAAATCAGAAATCTGACATAGCGTAATACAGTAAAGGGGTATTAACTTATAAATATAAATAATTGTAGATGCACTCACAAACGCACGTGAAATAGAGCTTCTCGCCCACTCAGGGGCAGTATGTAATCCGATGGATAAATTAGAGAATCACCTCATAGGATATATAAAAATAAAGGAAAAACAGAATAGTGAAGTTTGTTATGAAAAATACAAAATCACATTTATTGGTCACACTTACATGTGTGTAAATCACAAAGAGCATATCTCTCAATAACTTGGAACTCCATGCAGTGTTGTCATCAATCCAAGAATAGGGATAAACAGGAGTAGTTATAAATGAATAGCCAAAAAATAATTATATACAAATAAAAAACAATAAAAACAATATAAAGTAAGTCCAATATAGAAATCCAACGCGTTTTGTCCTGTGTGAAGTCCTACACCCTACAGGACGAAACGCGTTGGATTTCTATATTGGACTTACTTTATATTGTTTTTTATTTGTATATAATTATTTTTTGGCTATTCATTTATAACTACTCCTGTTTATCCCTATTCTTGGATTGATGACAACACTGCATGGAGTTCCAAGTTATTGAGAGATATGCTCTTTGTGATTTGCACACATGTAAGTGTGACCAATAAATGTGATTTTGTATTTTTCATAACAAACTTCACTATTCTGTTTTTCCTTTATTTTTATATATCCTATGAGGTGATTCTCTAATTTATCCATCGGATTACATACTGCCCCTGAGTGGGCGAGAAGCTCTATTTCACGTGCGTTTGTGAGTGCATCTACAATTATTTATATTTATAAGTTAATACCCCTTTACTGTATTACGCTATGTCAGATTTCTGATTTTTATACAGAATTCATATGGATTTCACTCTTCATCAGGTTGTTGTATATTTTATATAGTAACCCACACGTATTCTGGGTGTTTTCCACCTTTTCACATTGTTTCTTGGGTGTCTGTGAGGTACACCTAGGAATTCTTCCAGTTATACGTTTCTATTTTGTAGTGTATATACTATTTTTTGTTTATACAACCCTCTGTTGCCTGTCATTCAGCCACTGCCTAACCCATTCAACAATATTGGAATCCAAACTTAAAGATTGCAGTTTATTGATAAGCTTTTTATGTGAAACAGTGTCAAAAGCCTTACTGAAATCTAGGTAAGCAATGTCTACTGCACCACCCTGATCTATTATTTTAGTTACCCAATCAAAAAAGAAATCAATAAGATTAGTTTGGCATGATCTCCCTGAAGTAAACCCATGTTACATACTCCTTTGTTAGACTTCTGCTGTAATACTCTGATTTCTACCAGCTGGTTATATTTTTCCTGTTTTACCTAGTCTACTGAGATAATTTCATTTTCTATGGTGCAGTTTTTGCAAACCATACTTGCTTTAAAATCTTACATATCTGGTTCCGCTACAGTTAGTCACATTCTAACCAGCCACACAACCTATAATTTGTACCTTATTATTGGCATATTTTGTCGTAATCTAGGGAATTATGGGTCCTAACTCTACACGTAAATGGAACAACTTAAACTCAGCAGGCCTGATCACATCTATAATGAGACATTCTCTAGTGTGTTAATCTTATTCCTCAAAAAATATTTCTAATTTGAGTATTCAAATAAATGCACTCAACACCATTATTAATCACTGTCTGCTTGTAACACTTGCCAAGTTCAAATAACTTGATTTGTGTGTATCATTGAACAATTTCTATACCCTTACCGAGTATACATTCAAACATTCCATTTCATTTTCTTCTGTATGATCCCTGTGTAACATCCTTTTTTTTTTACTGAACAATGAGAGAACATGCTTTATACAATTCATTTTCCATTCTCACCACTAGCATTCGATTATATATTTTATTTCTAACTGATCTGCCTTGGCTTCAAATGATTTTCTAGTTTAATAACCTCTTTTTTTGTAGAGCATTTATAATGACCCAATCAGTTTTGCTTGAAACAGTCTTCTAGTTATTTTTTCATAAATGCTTATGTTTAAACATTGTGTTTGAATTTCAGACAGGTAAGTGCAGCATATTTAAAGGAACACTATAGTGTCAGGAAAACAAACATGTTTCCCTAACACTATAGTGTTAAACTAACTGTTTAGGCATCAGGCCCCCTTCAGATCGCATTGAAAAGGTGATTTGACTGACCCTTTTTTGCCTTGCTGCACCTTTCTTGCAACAGCTATCCCCACCTCCATGGCTGAAATCATCATCTTAGAGAATCCAATGGTTTCCCATCTAAAAGCATTGGGAGGCTATTGCGCATGCTCTGCAAAATGTCATTCAGCATCTCCTCAGACATGCATTGAATCAATGCACCTTTGAGGGGAACGTTCAACGACAGCATGCAGAGTGTGGAGACGCTGAACCTAGGTGCTTCACACTGCGCAGCACTGTGAGAGAAAGCACCTCTTGTGGCCGTCAGAGTGACTGCCACTAGAGGTGTTCCTATGCAGCAATGTAAAAACTGCCTTTTCTCTAAAAAGTCAGCTTTACGTTGAAAGGCCTGTAGGGACAGACTATAGACACTCTAAATTGCGAGAAAGAGTGTGTGCAAGTACAAACATCATTTATGTTGCCTTTAGTAAGAGATGTAGATATATGTACATTTATAAAATATTTGTTGTGGTTTATGGTTTCATATTTCATAGCCATTTGTCTTCGTGATATAGAAAAATATATTCTAAATAAGCAAGGTGTTAAAATATGATAATAAATATGCAGGGATTGAATACAATTTCCCTTTTTATACAGATTAAATCAAAATAGCTAGACTATGAATATTCAACACATGAAGTATTCATAAATACCTCAGGTTAAAAGTATTTTTTTTTGTTTGTTTTTTCTTAATCCTAATTCCTCTCATATTCATAAATAGAATTGTTCTGTTCTTTATTTTTAATAACATTTATCTTGAGGATATTTTTTCTCTCCGTATGACACATTGCAGTTGCCATGTATCTGCTGTGGTCACTGTGAGGTTACTATGGATACTGACGGTGACGTGCATAGAATTCAGATTCTTGAAATGTTTTCCAGTTCACACGGTTTAAACGAGCCTTGATAAAGCTATAATGCTTTCCATGGGGTCACACAGCTGTCCACAGCAGGCATATAAACTTTTAGGTTCTCAAGAAAATTATGCTTTAAGCAGAGATATAGCTGGTTAAACACGGACATATAAATTGGCACATTTCATGGATTTTAATTGTGAGTTATAAAGAGTAAGCTCATTTGCATTGATTACTATGCATGATTATTTCGGTTTGTTTCCCCATACTCTGAATAGTATATTTTGGCTTTTTATACACGGCTTGATGCATGTGTTGAGCTGATTTGTAAGTGATGTGTTCAGAACATCAAAGCAACCTACATTTTGTCCCACATTTTATCCTCCCTCTTCAAGTGACAGCTCGGTTTATGCAATCAAGGGAGCTACTGTCTGCATATTCAATCGGCCTGGTGGCATATTTGTACTGACATCTACTTGTTGGTTTTTCCTGCACCTGCTCGAGCAAGCGTCTATCTTGACCTTTAACACTTTGCTCTTTGATTACCCATACTATATGTGTTTGCATCCAAATGATGCATATTTTTGAATTGATTTGTATTTTAAGATCACATGTTCAACAACTCCTCACAAAACCCAACGCTGACGAGGTGAAACCTTTTTTTTATTATTATTATTATATTTTTTTGATTCTTAAATTAGCGGACATAACGATTCCATTTTGAAAACATCGCTTAGATGGAGCCAATAACGCCTTGGAATTAATAATTTATTGTAAATTTAATTTATTTATTTTCTGCTTGGCTAACAATGCCACCTCTTATCTTGTGTCTTATTTAAATGTAAATTCCGTATAATCAGATTGTTCTGTTAGTAAAAACCAATTAGAGAAAATAAATTAGAGAAGCGGCACAATACAGAAAGTAAAACACACAGATCTTGTAATCACGTATTACAGAATAACACAATGGATGGTGATCATTATACAATAATTTTCAAAACAAGTGCATTGAAATCACAAGTTAAAAGTCGATTTCAATATGTAAAAATTACCTACACAAGTTTGCATGTCACCGAGCGATCAGTGATTCGACTCATAAAATGCAGCATATTTTTTTTCTTTTTTTTTTTACGAAATAGAAAATTTAATTAGAAAAGTAATCAGTTTGGACATTCCTTTTGCCTACAAAGAGATATTTAATCTCTTCTCTTAAGCTATAAAAATCTTTTCGAGGATTCAGTAACATCCAAACCTCACAGTTATTTTTTTGTTATCGTGGCACACTAATCAAGTTGTTACCATACAAAATAAGTGCAGATATTATTACCCTGCTTTCGTACAATGGTTAAGACACAGAAGAACTGTAACAAAAAGGCATGGAAAATTAACAATACACTTAAATAAATAAAAAAATAAGTTATTCATTTTAAGAATTAATATATTTTACTGTGGATGAAAAATAATAGTTAAGAGAAAAAAGAAACTTGAAACAGATACATAAAAAAATATGAAATATACGGTTATTTAGCAATCCTGAAATTTTGAGGCTCACAATTTAATTAGTGTCCTGAGTTACTTTTTAGGCAAGATATTGCATTGTATAGTATTGTTACTCAGTAAACACATTAATCAGTAAGTCAAACACAATATAAATGTTGTAACTCTCCTGGAATAATTACAAAAAAAGAAGACACTTGGTCCATTGATATTTTCAGGACTATGGCTTATATGTGCACCAGTAATCTCATGTCAGCATTGTCAGAAAATGGCGTGGCATTCTTTGTCTATCCCTGGTCTAACATTATAAGACTATGAACAGTTGCATGTTTTTTTTTTTTTTACTACAGTGTCAACTTTTGTGCATTCAAATTGAATTTAACATTTTAAGCAGAAAATACAGCTGACTAGAGTTTTTTTTGCTTTGTCATTATGGGCTAAAATTTGAAATCAACTTTGAAAAACATACCAGCTATCTGACTTATAATTTATAATTTTACTGTTTATTTAGTGGTTTTGAAAATTGTTTACCCAGGAGGACAGGCATGTACAGGACATAGGGTATGCTCTTTCTATGCTTTAATAAACCCTACTTAATATAATCTAGGATAAAATAAATTATAATTTAAAATGTTTTGGCTTAGTGAAACGTAGGTGAATTAACATACATAGTCATGATTGATTTCTTCAAAAACTAAGCAAATTATAACAAATGAATGAAACACTGCCCATAGGGATGTAAAGAAGGGAACATTTTGCTCTGCATTATGGCTTGCCTTGGTACACTGGCTCATGCCTTGTGCATAACAATGATTATCAATATACTGTGATGTTTTTTGAGGCACATCACCCACATCAGTGTTACCAAGATATTTTACTGAAATGCAACTTAAAATTTGCTTAATAGATAGTCAATAAATGCATATTTTTTAAGGAACCAACATTTTCTATGACAATTACAGAGTATAGCATTTATGACGTAATTATGGGTATAACATACTTTTTATAATTCTAGTTGATTTCTGTTTTTATTTGCAGTATCATAAGATGGATAACAATTTAGTGAAATCAATAGTTTAACAATGACTGGTTACCTATGTGTTTGCTGCACAATTATTTCTTGGTCAGATAGTGGAATGAGTGCAATGGTTATCATTGAGGCCTGTTTTACCTTTTGAAGAAAACATTTTGTGGTTACAATTTGCATGTTTACCTAATTTAGCAGCATTTTGCCTGATAAACCCCCATATAAATACGAGAAAATAAAAGGCTTACCTAAGATATCAGCAAGAGTCATAAGATCATGAGTCATAAAATTGCACACCTTGGCGGAAGGGTCATTGTCTCACTTTGTATTTTTAACTTTCCATTGATTAAACTCCTGAAGAATAACTTTTTATAAGCTTCACTGGTTACATTGGTGATGCAGTTACCTTATTTAGAGGTCAGATTCTAACCACAAACTCTGCATTATAAGGAACAGCTATAACTTAAATGATATTGTTAAATAGTAATGATTCCACATGAAGATACAATATATTAATTTAAATTAAATAAAAAAGATAGGTTGAAGTGGATCAAGCGCCACTGTTAAAAGGTTGCTTAAGAGGGACATGTCCTACACAACCAATACTAATTCTGGGAACCCAAAAATTAAAATAATTTTTGTTTTCAAGACAAATAAAATACATTTTGGGTTATTTAAGTGATAGAAACACGCATTCACATATTGGTTCATCAGTCAATAAGGATGCACACACAGAGTTTATTTAACCAAACATCGAGTTGTGGAAAATTGACAAAGAAACAGCAAATTCTGGCCAAAGTAGTAGAACTGGAAAGATTATTTTGGCCCAAAATGCACAAATCTTTTGTATGAGAATTACTCATAGACACAAAAAAATAAAATAAAATAGGCAAGCTGGAAATTAGAATCTCTAATTATTCTGATTGCACGGTGGTTATCTGTTCACTGTAACTCTTTGAACATATATCGAGATAGAATCATGGCTCTACTTTACCTACTATGTCAAAATACTTGTTATAACCTGCTTAGGGTCTGAATCAAAGTTTTTTTTTCTAATGTTTTTAACAATATATCATTAGAATATATAATATATTCTAATAATATTTTTTTTCCTTATATATATATTTTATATATATATATACATATATATATATACATATATATATTTTATATATATATATATATATATATATATATATATAAATAAAAGTAAGGAAGTCAGGCACTCTACCTTTGAAAATTTGTTGAGATGAACCTCGGTGCTGCACAGCATGGATAAATACGAGATGTTGAAAAGAGCACTCGAGAGGATTTGTTTAACAAGCTTTATATGTGATTCAAAAAGATCAACGTTTCGACCCAAGAGGTCTTTGTCAAGATGTGAGTACAAGTGAGTAAATTATATATATATATGTAGGGCATAAATTGTAAAAATAATCACTTACCCAGTGCAGGTGTGACCCCCAGATCCCTAAGTGAATGTTGTGCTGTGCGCGTGTGACCGGCGTGTGACGTCATCATACCGCGACCGAGAGGTCGGGAAGGCATCTGGTTGCCATAGTGACGCGGTATTAGAAAATAAGTGTATGTGAAGCGTGCATTTCAATCAGAGTAAAATATCAATAAAATGAGCAAGGAAGAAATACAGAAAAAGTGTACAAATGGTATATACACAACTGATCTGTCAGATTGTACAAAAAGAATATTAAGTGGAAAGCCCAAACCAATTGAATAATGGATGAGTGATTGAAAGGGGACGTGATCGTGAGTGAATGAATGGGATGGATTGGGAGTGAGTGTGAATAAAGCAGAACAATAATACTGTGTATGTGAAATCCAAAATAAAACTGGAAAACGTGAAATATGTCCCCATGGATAGGTGTGTGATAAAAGATAAGAGTGATAAGAATAAAGCTGATGTGTGGATGAGAGTGAGAAGAAAGGAATAAAGAGTGTGGTCATGAAAAATAAAGAGAAGAAAGTAGAGAGGCATGGGCTATATACAAGCATAAGTACATATATAGAAATAAATCAATGACTGATATGGCAGAGCAGAGGATAGTACAACCAAAGGAACATAAGCATATTACTAATATCTGAGCAAAGAGCAAAGAAAATTCAGGTGAGATGTATAGATATTTACACGAAAATGATATTAATAATGATATTATTAAGGCTGTAGCCACAAGAATCTATGAAGGTATAAGGAAGAGAGATATGGATATGAGCAAATGAATGGCCTAGAAATAGACTAATAGAGAGTAAAAAGAAAAAAGGAAAAAGAAAAAAATGATAATAAAGAATAATAATGAAAAAATAATAAGTAAAAAATAAACAAATATAATAATAAAAATAAATATAATAAAAAATAATGATAAATATGAATGATAATAAATAGAAAAAGAAGAAAAAGTAAAAAATATATAAAAAAACTGTATACAAATATGAAAAATGTGATATCACAAAAAAATTAAAAAATTCAAATAAAGTTCAAAAAAAATTCAAACAAAGGCTTTGAAGTTATTGTGTTTCCAAAAAAGAATTGAAGGAGACATATTCATTGAGGCCTTTCGGTTGCACTGTATCCAATGTCCTAATCCAGTAGGTTTCTCGTTGCAGAAGGATTCTAGATCGATCACCTCCTCTAGATAGTGGGGGGATGTTGTCAATGCCGATTAATTTTAAGGTCGGGAGACGATGATGTGCCTCTAAAAAAAATTTTTGGCTATCATATTATTGGTCCTGCCATCCCTGTAGGCAGTCATGATTCCTGAACGATAACCACGCATCGTTAAACCGGTAGCCAAACATTTTTTAGAGTCACATCATCGTCTCCCGACCTTAAAATTCATCGGCATTGACCACATGGGTAAGTGATTATTTTTACAATTTATGCCCTATATATATATATATAATTTACTCACTTGTACTCACATCTTGACAAAGACCTCTTGGGTTGAAACGTTGATCTTTTTGAATCACATATAAAGCTCATTAAGCAAATCCTCTGGAGTGCTCTTTTTTAACATCTCATATATATATATATATATATATATATATATATATAAAACAATTATTAGAATATATATATTCTAATATATATTCCCCCCACTCCATATTCAAATGTTTTGTTTCAAATGTTTTGTTTCATGTTTTTGGGCATATATATTTCCACTAATGGCCCCGTCAGATTCATTATGTGCTGTACTATTACTATTTTTGTGTGATCAGATTCTGAATTTAAAGAGGTATGGAATATATTTTTTTCATGGAAAAAGATAAGAATTTATTTCAGCCTGCCGCACCACCTTCAATGTTATTTGATCTGTAAGATTTCAAACTTGCTAGACTGTCAAATTGAGGAAAACTGTTACAATATCAATCTATTTCATACTGTGCTTTACTTAGCCCTGAATATTTTATGTACTGTTTCTCTCAGCATATTTTATTATGTGCTTGCACTCTTTAGGTAATATATTTCTCTGTGGCGTAACTTCTGCATCATTGCAGTCTTCTTGTAGAAGAAAGCCAAAATTTAAATGATAGATTATGGAACACTCTTCCCTGAAGGTTTACATGAGTTTTGCTTAACCTAGACAGAAGAGAGTTGCTTTGTTATATGTTTTTTTTTTTCATTTGCTTAATTATTGTTTATTGCAGAAACATGCAAAAGTAAGCAAGACAAAACCTTGTTTCCAAAGCCAATAATTACATTAGAGACTTAATTTCTTCACTCCCTCATAGAAGGCTTATTGATGGTTATAAAAATCCTTAGTAAGGAAAAGCAGAGATCCAGGAGGGCAGCTGAAATGCATGATTCTTTTTTGTTTTGTTTCAAGCAAGAAAAGGAGTCTAGGGAGTTTTTACAGATTTATCAGCAGCTCCTAATCACTCTGTTACAGCAATGCAGCTATAAAATCTTGGCTAGAATTGTTATTTCCTCATAAAATAAATCAAATCTAAGTTTTTCTAACAGTTTTTTCCCTTACTCTTAAGAAATGTAAGTAATTGGCTAAAACCACCCTCGAGAAGAATAGTAGTTTTATCATTTTCAATTCTTGAAGAGTGATAAATCACAGGAACTTAAAAAGGTTTTATCATTTATCGGATATTACTTGTATGGTCCCGTAATTAAATTTATTCATTTTAATTGCAGTTGATGTTATATTAACTGAAATAAAAAAAAACCCAAACACTCAAAATGTATTGTCTGAAATTTTTATATTAGGCATGTGGTTTGCTTGGGGAGTCACAAGAAATAGTATATTATTTAGAAGTTGGCATGTAAACAGGGACATTTTGACTCTCAACCAAGCTTAGAACACTATTCCAGATACAACCTCATCTCTGATGTTATGCATGTTAAAATTATTCCATGTTTTAGATACCATTTATCTTGTCCTACCAATTACCTTTGCTCACCCACACGATGTCAATAAATAGAGAGAGATCTTCAGTGATAGCTAGAGAGCCAGGCAGAGAGACTGACAGGTTTCAGTACATTTCTCAGGATAAACAAAATATATTCAGGGCACAGGGCAGGAATGTTGGTGATATCAGAAGGCATTGGAAGGGATTTATCCCCTATGGAACAAATTAGATTGTGACTTAGAACATTATAGGCAGTCTATGGGTTGCAGGTAAAAAGGGAGTTATAAGGCAGTTCAAAGAGTTTGTAATCAAAATCTGTGAGTGATGTGAAGTAATAAGCAATCAATTAACAATTGGACGCTTTAGAATATTTGACCTGTTTTGGATAATACTTTGCTTGCTTTAAATTAGATTTACATTATATGCAGACAGCTTTAAGCCAAAACGGATACAATGCTTCTACGTTGCTATGTGCCAATGGGCTTGTTATTGATTTTTGCTCAAACGGAAAGGACAATCATGTTATCTAGTTTTAGCAGTGATGGTAATGAACAGAAAGTAATTGTGGGAGCTTAAATTAAAATGCTGTATCTTCATAGGTAATTGAGGCTAGAATGTTAGAGTCCACATAAGGTGTGCACAGTTAATATCATAATCACTTTCTATACTTAAGTCATTTGAGTCCTTGATCATGTTATGTTTGAAAGTCGCGTCAAGGACAGTTCACAGATGTCTTAGCATCTTATAATGAACCATGTTTACATCTCTGTCACTGATCTGGACTTTTCTGTCCACCCATGCTCTTATTACTGAATGCCCCAAATAATGATTGTCAGGTTTTTGTTTAACAAATATAAGAGCAGGGGCAAGACCAATCTGTGGTTATCTGAAAATTTTCTCATGTGCCTTAAATACACGCTCATATTAACTGCCTTAACATATATAATATGAACACTATATTATGGAGGGATTGCATTATATTAGATAGAAATCCATAAATATACCTTGCTGTAATACAAAGTTAGCCCATTTGTATGGTGTATAACAGTTTACCTTTAAATAACCGTCTTGATAATAAATCGAAATGTATTGAGGGCTTTGGATAAGACCTGTAGACACAGAAAAAAAAAAAACAAATGAGTCCAGTCTATCTATGTGCAACTTGGATGGCCTGTCACTTCAGTTAAATGTACCTACCTAGGTCTATCCTAATAATTTTATGAGATATTAAACTAGCATGTAGGTTTAAGATCTAAATATTAACTGCCCTTAGTATGTTCCAAGACTATGTATGCTTTAATATACTATTACTATGTAAGTATTCTAGATATCTTCAACTTGCAGAGCAATCAGTGTGCTATCTGTTCAAATACATCAATATCCTCATAACTGGAAGTGATCAACTACTTACATACCCCAGTTAGTCAGAGCAGCATTGTCCTCCCCGGTACACTGGAGACACCATTGACACTAGTAAGAAACTATTGCAAATGTTTTGCAATATTTATTTAAATGACAGTCATTTTACAGTTTACACTTGGATTGCTTTATTCATTTCCCAATTTAAGAATGGTTTGCCAGGCTAATACCACAATCATAATTTCATCCCTGAGCAAAAAAAATTAAATTAATAAAAAGGGTAAAGAAGCACTTTATTAAAAGGTGTACGTTTAGGTGATACAGGAAGTCATAAGTTGATGACATAATCTGTTTTACTATATTTGACTTGTCTGGTTTAGAGACCTCATGCTTTATGACAACCACTGCCTAGTGCCTACTACTTTGCAGTAGGAGAGGCTTAATTTAAAAGAAAACAGTACCAAATTAAATGGGCAGTGTTACTTATTTGTTGTTGGTTATTTCAGAACCACTTTGAGGTGTAAGCAGATCTAAAAATATTCTCACTGTATACAGTAATATATATGTATTGTGACACTTTTTATTCCGTAATAAAAAAAATGCAAGGACAGTTCAAAAGTAAGTAAAATAAGAATAGTATAACAATAATAATAATAATAATAATAATAATGTACTCCTTTCGACAAACATTAGCCCTTTCTCATACTGGGGATGGAGAAATTGTCTCTGCTGTTAGTTTACTGAGTAAGAACACATAAGCGTTGCAATATCTATGATTTAAAGTAACAAAATTGTTTGGGTTATACATTTGTATTAGAAGAACATTTTTTTTTACTCTCTCCATTTCATTAATAAAAGCAATGGTGCTGATTAATTCATTTTTTTTGTTATATACAATATTCATCACATTATAGATAAAATGCATTTAAAATTTTTGAACACCCCATAATAACAACTGTGTAGTGAAATATATACAGTATTTACAGAAATGATAATATACACTTTTGACTGCTCAGTCCTAGTAACATTAGCCCATCATGGCCTCAGTGGAATGGCACATTTTGGCAATGATAAGGTTAATGCATGACCACAAATGCTGAACAGCATTCCTTTATTATTTACAAAATTATTCCTGACTGGTCACACAATGTTCCTTCAGGCTTACAATCCATTAGACAAATATGATCTGTGTAATGGTTTTACATTTAGGCAGGGTTTCCTCATCAGTGCTGAACACATACACCTTTAATAACACAATCAAATAAAGAATAGTAGCAGGACATCTTTATTTTCTCAAAATAGTGATTTAGCATAATTTTAAAGAAATTGTGTTTGGAAATTGTAAGAATAGAATTCAATAGTTTTTATTATTAATTTTTTTTTTCATTTTGTTCAACTACCTGTTGGTAGATGAATAAAAAGAATGAAAAAATAATTTAATTCTATTTTTTAACCATACTTTAGCAAAACCAATAATGTTGACATAGTATAATAATCAAACTCATATTTTGCTTACAACCAAATCTCCTGGGTAGAAAATCTCCTTAAATTGCATACACCACAAACACAAGAGCATGCACTACGCTGCACTTGAATAAGCCTATCTATTTTAGGTCGTATTGTGTTTGAAAAAAAAAAAAAAAATTACATCAGCAGTTCATGGGAAAAACACACCTGCCTGCTCTGCAATAAACAAGGTACATCTCGTTCTTTTAGAAGTAAACACCCTTGTCTCCAATGTGTAGTGCTAGGTCAGCCTATAATGCTTTGCTAAGCACCAGATGATACACTCCTTGTCAGTTGGAAAGGGCAACTGAGAATTTAACGTATAAGCAAAGCGTACAGTCTTACAGTCCTGTCATCAGGGTTTAATCATTTATTGAATTTTTACATAACTATACCAGTTAAAATGTTTGTTGGCACGGTACCTTGCGTTTCTCCCTGTTGGCTTACATGAGTGCTCTGTGTGCTTATGTAATACACAAAACGTACCTTTGTCATTTTGGGTAGAATGTCATGCTGAGTACAGTATGTGTTCAGCATAGTAGACGCTATTGTAATAGTTATGTAATGTGCTCTTTCCAGGAACATACAATGCAGCTTGCGTTATTGTGTTTCATTAACTTATGTGACATTTAAGTATACAGGATCTGACATGTCTACAAAAATAAGCAAGAGTCTTTTTCTTCTTACAATACAGGAAGTAAAAGGTTTCCATACTGCCATGATGTCTATAGGTGCCAAAAATCATTTTCAAATCTGTTATTTTAGTTTCAGACACCTGAAACGGACACAGTGCTGTTCGTGTAGGCGTACGTCTCTGTAGTTACGTATAATTGCACGAAGCAAGTTGTATCTCTCTATCAGATTTACAAAACATAGTAGTTTTTTTCTGATATGACAATGCAAACAAGCATTACAATAATGTTACAATCAGGGCCACCCTTACGATTTGTGGATGCCGGCTAAAGAAAGGCTTACCTGGCCCATTTTTCCCCAATACATGCACAGGCATTCTAAGTCCCTGACTGTTCAACAATTGGACAGGAACAGAATGGGCAGCTACATACGTATGCACATATGCAGTACTGAGAGGTGCCCAAAAGCTAGATCCTCAGATGTTTTAAAAATACAGCTTTCATGATACTTTGTCATTCTAAAAGCATGCAAAGCATTATTGGAGTTGTAGTTCTACAACATCTGGGGATCTAAGTTTTGGGCACCTTTGCAGTACGTGTTTCTCTTTCATTCCTGAAGGCAGAGATTCTGTGTGTGGTGTGACCGGTCAACTGCACATCCCTTATGTTTCAATTAGTGAGTTCTGCAAAAACTAGGGGGACAGACCCCACCTGTCCCTCCCTAAGAACGGGCCTGTTTACAATTGTAAATGATTCATACCAGCATTTGACCAAAATAGTTTGTGTTCTTATAATATGTCTCCATAAGTAATAATATTATATTAAATGTTATGTTTATTAACTTTTATTGACTAAAAAGCCTTATATTTTACCGTTGATGGTGGAGCTTCATTAATACAAAAAACAGGTGCTGTCCGGGATCAAAGTGCTAAATAAGGAGTAATCACTATTAAAGCCAATAGAAAGTCACTCAACATTTCACACTTTCCACCAAAAAAGCACCTGTGTTGCTTTGATAGCTCTCCCACTCTGTGTCTTCATAAAACAAAATAATTAACTTGAAAATATATGCAATGTCATCCAGTACTGTCAAATATAATTAGAGAGATAAATGCTCTGTTGCTTTGTGCATTATCTCGATTGATGTGATCAGGCAAACTTATTTTGTAACTCCCATCATATTAAAACTGCATTGGCCATTGGGGACAGGGGTCATGGTATGGGGAAGGGCTTTTGGGATGATAATCACATATACCTAGTTAGACATGTGAACAATGAAAATCTAGGGCAGGTCAAGGGCAATCGTAGGAATCTCATGTCCTATTGGATTTCCAAGTCTGCCCATGAGCACTGTGCTGTACCAATAGGCAGGATACATCCATCTTGCATGTGGAAGCTCTGTGGTCAAGGATTGTTTGCACAGATGGACTGAATGCCATTAGTAGAAAGAACTGATTCTACCAGTTATAAAGTTTTCATTAATAGTACCATATTTAAAACCAAACACATTTTCACATACCAAAGTGTGAAAATAAAATGTACTGTCAGAAATACATGCCATTTTATCAGGTGCTTCCAATCTTCACTGTAATGCTTGTAGGCTGCCAATATTGCTGTCAGTTACCGAGTGATAACTGCGTGGAGTGACTTTTTAAAAGGTAATTAGCTGGAGAGGACCCTACACAGACCGTCTATCTTGCCAACTGCTGCTAAATGGATGGTATCATTGTTTTTGGAACCGGTAAGGTGTGTAGCTTTTAAGATCATATGTGTTACTGTTTAAGGTGTGAAAAAACAAAACATTTGATAAAAGAGTTGACTCTACCATTCTACTAATAAACTTCCTAGTGACAATACATCATTTTAGAAAACTGCATGGTTTATTGCATGCTCTCTAGATGTCCCCCCAGATTTTTGCCAATGGTTGGGTTGAATGCTGACTGTGCCTATTAATAGATTATTCAGTTGTCAGACAGCAGTGAGAATTGTCACAGCAAAAAAATATATATTTGCAAACTATTCTTTTTCTTTTTTTTTTGCACAGAAAATTAATTTTTTACTTTTGCATTTTGTTTTAGATGAAACAAAAAAACCAAGAATACAGCTTGTATAGAAGATGCATATGGCATTATGATGTGTGTTTTTATATCAGCAGGGAGGGCTGCTTGCAAAACTGTCAGTGACTACACTACGTTATCTAAAGACACTTTGTTCTATTAATGTATTGTTCACACATAATGATGTTGACATACTACAGATCTCAACATGCTCTATTACTTATGACAGTAAAATAAGGTCAGAGTTTGTTTGAGATGTAGATATAACTGCTGCAGATTCTAGAACACATCCATGCACGTAAAGATAAGTTAACTTGCTTTACTTGGTTATGTGTGTGTTTATACTTCCATGTATGTTA